AGGCTGGCGGGGGGTGTGCCGGGTGGTGGCGGGGCGGGCTGGTGGAGGCTGGCGGGGGTGTGCCGGATGCAGGTGGGGCGGGCTGGTTGGAGGCTGGTGGGGGTGCCGGGTAGGTGGCGGGGCGTGCCGGGTGTAGGTGGCGGGGCGGGCTGGTTGGAGGCTGGCGGGGCCGTGCCGGGTGTAGATGGCGGGGCGGCTGGGAGGCTGGCGGGGCGTGCCAGGTGTAGGTGGCGGGGCGGGCTGGTTGGAGGCTGGCGAGGGAGTGCCGGGTGCAGGGGGGGGGCTGGTTGGAGGCTGGCGGGGCGTGCCGGTGTAGGTGGCGGAGGCGGCTGGTTGGAGGCTGGCGGGGCTGGCTGGTTGGAGGCTGGCGGGGGGCGTGCCAGGGTGGCGGGGGCGGGCTGGTTGGAGGCTGGCGGCCAGAACACTGGGGTCTTTTTTTATAAGGTCTTTGTTTACGACTTTAAGCTACCGTCGGGTAGGTGCTGGGGTGACCTGGGGTGGGTCCTGGGGTGACCTCCGAGTGGGTCCTGGGGTTACCTTGGGTTGGTCCTGGGGTGACCTGGGGGCTTATGGACGTCTTTCAGGAATCCCTGAACGTGGAAATCTAAGTAAAAAATTTAAAGTATAAAATATGAACATTACAAATACCCCTTAGAGTTATAACTTTCATTTTTTTTAGGGATGCCCCCCTCCCCCCCTCACCCTCCCTCACCCTCCCTCACTCTTACTACACCTCGTAGTCTTCACCTCGTCATCTCACGCTGCTATACGATGATTTTTACTCGTCAATATACTTGTAGTATTAAATCCTCTAACACATTTCTTATTAATAATGCAGTTAACATCTTCAAGACATTTTTCGTGGTGTTATTATGTGTAAATTATCAGTTCATAACCAAACATTTTAAAGATTTAAGAAGTAATAAATATTTTTTGGTGCACAGCCGCTCAAAAAACTATCTGTACTCGGGGTGATCAATGAATTTCAGAATGAACACTCTGAATCCTGTTGTCTCGGTAGGGTTGTCAAAATCCTTCGTCCGTTGTGTCATATTTTTTAACATAATTTTTTCTAGATAGTTTTTTGCGTGACTGTACAAGCTTAGACACCTTAGTTATTAAAGACTCAGTGATACAGAACATCAGGGGAAGAAATATCACTTGTACTGGCTTCTCTGTCCTGACGCAGCGCTAACTTGTGTGCATAAATCTCTCTCTCCCTCCTGGTATCCTTAATTAGCAATGCGTTTCTTTTAATGGTGTAAAAAATGAAACAAGACTCTTCAACACAACCCAAGAATATTGTTCCCCTTTTGGTTAGTCTTTTATTCAACTGTTAAATAGTTTAGGCTTAACTTTATACGTTAAATTTCACACAGGTATTTAATTATGACGAGAAACACCTTTTTTTTATTCAGTAGTAAAACATTAGTTACTTCAAATCTCATTATATAGTCACTATAACTTTTTACTGCATATGCAAAAATGTGGATTAAATCAGATCTCCAGCTTAGTTGAGATTCTAACGACGTCAGCGACCCTCTGAGCTTAAAATAATCCCAAGCTTAACTCTCCTTCAACATGATCATTACAATCCATGAATGTTATGTTACTTAATTCATAACAACTAATAGTGTTTACAATTAATTCCTACTTGAATCCTAAGGGTTACACTGCGCCGAGTTTGTTGCAGCTCAAATAAATAACACGAGTAAGATATATGACTCACATACTGTCAACCTTGATCTTCCACAAATGAATTTATTCTGCCATGTATTTAATTACGTTCAAGCTTATCATATTTTACGTCATACTCGTTGAAACAGACCGTCATTCACTATTAACGGAAGCAAAGCCAAATGGATAATGACAACGAAGTGTTTCACCACAAAATGTTACTTTAAATAAGTATCAGATTTCATTGTTGACGTTAATCTTTTTAATATGAATTTCAGGGTATTTGTGCACATTATTGACGTGTGTTTAATGTTTGTTGTGGGGGAAATTGTCTCTTAAATGTTTATGTTAATGGCTGGAGAGTTAGACCCGCGGCGAGACAAGGAAAATCGACTTTGAATTTATTTAAGAAACAGCAAGTCGACTGCGGCCATACGCCGTGATGCCTCCGTCCGTCTGTCTGTCACTTTCTCTCCCCCCCTCCCCCCTCCCTCCCCCCAAAAAAAAATTTGATAATCCAGAATTTATTTTTATTCTGAGTCTCCGTGAACCGTACATTTGTTAATTGAAGACGAAGTAAATAAGGAATCATCTGTATAAATGTTGACTTGTTGTTTCAGCCTCGGATTACAAGAATATTTCTAGTAATATTCCTCATTCCTAGATATATAATGATATGTGTGAAATAATAAGTTGTTTTAATTGTTTCTGCAGTAAAGATACATTTATTTTATTTACCTTAACGGAAGCGAGAAGCACAGAGTCGTATCTTATGAGAATAAGTTTGTGTATATATTTGTATATCTGGTAATAATACACGTCTGTGTGTGTGTGTGTGTGTGTGTGTGTGTGAACAGGATGACCTATACATCACACAAACCTGCCTGTGGGTTCATCACTATCAGAGGCATCTCCTGATTGCCAGTAAGCCCCGCGGGACTTCATTTCCTCACCTTTGATCCAATTTACTCTCCTCTGAGTGGTCCTTCAGCTCGCTTCGAGATTGGTCGACTTGGAGGACACTTTACCTTATAGATTTACGTGAGGATCTTGTGAATATTTGTGTTATACCAGCAACAGTGTCCCACAAGTGAGGACAATGTTGCTGGCTACCTGCAATTTATTCTCTAGTTCAGGAATTTATTTACATTACACGTCTTATAAAAATTCCGGGGGGGAAGGATTTGTGTTGGTGAGATAAGGCTCTTTAGTTACCTCGTCAGCGTCCCTACTGGTGATGGATGGTTGGCCTCCGTCGGGTAGGTCCTGGACCAGCACCAGCCACCAGCAACACAACTCAACACAACACAACACGCCTCTTCCGTCATTTCTCAGTTGGTGGATGCTGGAGAAAGATCTTGGAAGGAGGATGATGGAGGAGAGAGAGAGAGAAGTATGATGATGTTACTGAGAGAAAAGAGAAGTGGATGATGGAGGAGATAGAGGGAGGTATGATGATGTTACTGAGAGAAAGGAGGAGAGGAAGAGGATGATGGAGGAGAGAGAAAGAGAGAGAGAGAGAGGTATGATGATGTTACTGAGAGAAAGGAGGAAAGGAAGATGATGAAGACGAAGGGGAGGAGGAAATGAGAAAGGAGAGAAGGAAGGAGAGGAGGAAATCGAGGAAAGGAGTGGAAGATAAAGGAGGGAGAATCCTTTACTGTCTTGGTCACAAATAGTTTTCTTTCGCCGTCTCCCTCTCCATCTTTTATCATTTATTTTCCTCCTATGTCTACTTTATCATCCCTATTACTTCCTCCTCCTCGTGTTTCCGGTTATCTCTTCCCTATTTTAACCAATAGGGTATACTGTATAGAAGTTCCAAGGAGTGCCATGTGTGTCAGTGGGTGCACAGGAGGGGCCATGGCGTGCCAGATGAGGGAAGTAGTATATACCAATAAAAAAAAATCAAAATTATATATAAAATGAAAAACTAATTTGAGGCGACAATTTTTATCTCTTCATAACCCTTTCTTGTCCTGGGGTCCTAAATTTCGTCTCAATTTGACACGGGGGAGGAGAGGGGAAAGGGTGGTGGAGGTCACACAGTTAGACATTCATTACTTGCCACTCATAAATGACGTAATTCAGGCGTGTTTAGGGGGTCACATGGAGATTGGCCCCCCTCCAGTTAGGTCAGGTTAAGTTAGGTTAGCGTCAACTTAGGTTAGTGTTAGGTTAGGTTACGTAGGTTAGTGTTAGGTTAGGTTACGTAGGTTAGTGTTAGGTTAGGTTACGTTTGGTTACATTGTTATATGTTGGTGTTGGATGTTGTGTTAACAGACGAGGAGAGGAGTACAGTCTTAGCGGGAGGGAGGTGAGTGGGTAGTGAGGGGAAGTGGTGAGTGGGAGGGAGGTGAGTGGTAGGAACAGCCCGACAGACAGCAGGAACGCCAGGGACCAAGTGTCGTGTGGGAGGCGACGGGATAACATTGTATTGGATATTGGCTGTTGAATAAACCAGGTAAAACAACTCTGGCTTTCACTCCTCGGCCGTGGAGGGAAGGAGGGTGAGGAGGTAGAGTTTGGAGGGGTGGGAAGGATGGAGGAGGTAGAGCTTGGAGGGAATACTGCCTCACTCACGCCCCTGCTCCGCCCATTCCCGTCCTTCCCCAACCCACGCCGTCTCTCACCATCCACCTCCACCCTTCCCTACCCACTTCCGCCTCTCCTCGCCCCGCCCTGTCCATTCCAACCCATGCCAGCCCCGCCCAGCCCCGCCCATCTACGCCCCACCAAGTCCCACACTACCCTGCTTCGCCCCGCCTCACCCCGCCCCACCCCGCCCCGCCTCACCCCGCCATCGACTTACATCAGTAATGGTCCATCGTCTTTTGTGATCGTATTAGTTGAGTGATCCATCCCGCTAATGGTCTAGATACTTCCCACATGATGGTTATGTTGGGGTATGACGGGGTGTGGCGGGATATGTTGGCCCTTGCTGGGGTATGACGGGGTGTGGCGGGATATGTTGGCCCTTGCTGGGGTATGACGGGGTGTGGCGGGATATGTTGGCCCTTGCTGGGGTATGTTGGGGTATTCTCCTTTAAGGTAGACCGAGATAAGAAGAGGTGGGTGACGTACATTCTGCCGTTCTGGTCTAAACAACTCCTTAACCTTTCTTGTAATTTAAGCCTCGACCTGTGATTACGGTTGAGGTGACGTGGGAGGTGGTTTGGGGGGCGTGGTTGGTGGTGGTGAGGGAGGCGTGGTAGAGTGGCGTGTGTGGTAGTGAACACTTACCCTCACCACACACATATATCATTAAGTATAACGTGTGTGTGTGTTACAGTCAAGACTTATCGTGTGTTATCTCTCCCCAGGTGGTGGCGGTGACCTCCCCGCCTGGTGACTGGTGACGGCGGCGTGGACGTGACCCGTGGCATGCCCATGGTGTGTGTGGGTAGTGGGCAGTGAGGGAGTCAGGTGCCCCACAGCATGGTGGCCGCCGGGGGTGTAATAGCAGTACACTAGAGGCCGTAGGACAGCACCAAGATGGCTGAGGATGGTGGTGCGAGACGACCTTCCATCGCTACCATCTTCAACCCTCGTCGTGGGCGTGGGTCGGCGCCCTCCCGCCCCTCAGTGGTGGTGACGGATGAAGACTCCCCCGGGCCGCCCCTCCAGCTCTCTAACGGGTCTGGGTTGCGAGTGGGGTCTGCGGGGCTGAGTGGCAGCAGCACCACGCCCGTCGGCAGTCCCTCCATCAACCTGGGCTCTCCCGGCCCTCCAGCAGATGTCGAGGGTGAGTACTGAACCTCGACCTTGTTTACCTTGCGTATCTGCAGCCCAAGACGTGACACACACACACACACACACACACACACACACACACATACGAAATAACAAGAACAGCGTCATTCATTTGACAATTTCAGCTCCTTAGTATGCGGGAGACTTTCTGTTGTCCACAAATACTCAAGTGTTTTATTATTTAGCGGGAAGATTAGAGAGTGTTTTAGGCCTGTGACAGCGAGGGCTATGGTGGGGAGGGGGTTACTTGGGTAATATTTATGCCCCTCACTCTAATTTAGAAACATATCGTTGTCACTTTGTCTGTCTGTCTGTTTCTTATATCGTATGTATGTAATAATAATAATAATAATTAACGGTTTATTGAAAGAGCTTGGCAGCCAGAAGGTTGAAAATATACAGTTACATATTTTGGGAATGGGTTACGAATTACAAATAATATACAAGTAACATAAGTGATACAAATAAGATATGTATGTATGTATGTATGTCGCTTTTAGACCTTGTGGAATATCGTTCTGAACGTATACTGGAGTTTGTGGGACTCTGAACGTGCATAAAATTTACAAGTTAACGAAATTATTCCTCTCGTTCTATTTTATATACCATGGAGGGAGGAAGAGGACCCCCTCCCTCCCTGCCTTCCTCCCCCCTCCCCTCCCCCTCTCCCCTTCCTGCCCCCTCCTCCCTCCCTTCCTCCCCCTCCCTCCCTTCCTCCCTTCCCTGACACCTGAAATTTTTTGACAAGTTTGTTGCGTCCAAATTCCATCACATAATATCGTTTGGGACGACGAACAAAGCCAAATTCATTTTATTTATATTAACTGCAATTTTTGTGTCCGTCTTCATTTATCCGCGACAGAATTTTTGCCCGAAGTTTGTTTTGTGAAGTTTGTCAATGTTAAACTTATTTCCATTTTCCTTTATATTTTTGTTTTTTATTGTTTCTCTTATATTCCAATTTTCTGTGATATTATCTATAGTTATTTCCTATTTTCTTTTATAATTCCACTTATTTATAATTCCATTTTCTGTATATTTTTTTCTGATTTTCTTTGTAATCGTCGTCGAGTTTAATAAATAATAGTTTTTTTCTTCACACAAACACCTCCCCACCCACCCTCTCTATCCCTACCCCCTCTACTTCATTCGCCCTCTCTCTCCCTTCCCCTCCCAGCAGCACGAGACGACCACAGCACATTCGCCACACCGTCACATACAGGAATAATTTAAGAAGGTTGCCGAGGGAAGACCATTGCTGCCCCCTGACAAGATGGTGCCAACTGGGTTTTACTGTGACTTGAATGTGGGAGGACGCGGGTGGGTGGCGGGGGCTGTAATATTTGGTGGTTCACGCCTTACAGGTGTAATATTTGGTGGCTCAGGTCTTACAAGTGGAAAATTTGATAGCTCAGACGTTGCTGGTTCAGACAATGAGACTAAAAATTTAATAGCTCAGGTCCTGGTAGTGTAGTACAGTATTTAAGGAGTCAGACGCCGTTACTGTATTATTTGATAGCTCAGACGTTGGGGTTATGGTGTTGTTACAGTGTGTTGAGTGGAATACAGCAAAACTCAACAATCTGTAATTAACTTCATATATTACAAAGTTTCATTATTATATTACAGTAGTACGCTCAGTTCCGCTTCCACATGCTGTAATTTTTGTTGTTGTTGCGTGTAATTACATACTTTTTGCATTAATTACCAAAAATAACATTACATAATTGCGGTAACTTACGTACATTGTAGTTGAATTTTTAATTATACATTACTGAAAATTATACAGGAAAGGCTTAATAAATTATTAAGGTCTTGAAAATATTTATTCATAATTGCATACACCTTTGTTATGTAAGAGACAGTATGTGTGTTTAGATGACTAATATAGTACTTTAAAAACACCAAGTGATAATATTACCTGAAGATTAGACACCCCAGCTTATTTTCCATGATCAAACACCCAAACGTTACCGGGGAGAGAGTTAGGTTAGGTTAGGTTAGGTTGATTATCCGTGTTGTGTCGGTAGTAGTAGTAATTATGTAGCGACACATCGGCCCTCCTTAGTGTCACACCGACCCTCATAAGTGACACACCTGCCCTCATAAGTGACACACCTGCCCTCATAAGTGACACACCTGCCCTAATAAGTGACACACCTGCCCTCATAAGTGACACATCGGCCCTCTTTAGTGTCACACCGACCCTCATAAGTGACACACCTGCCCTCATAAGTGACACATCGGCACTCATAAATGACACAGCGGCTCTCATAAGTGACACACCGGCCCTCAGTAGTGACACACCGGCCCTCAGTAGTGACACACCGGCCCTCAGTAGTGACACACCGGCCCTCAGTAGTGACACTAGCTTAGCTGTTTATCAAGAGTGTCATTATCAGCCTTTCACCTTGTCCTCGCCGCTAATAAACTCCTTCGATATTTTTCAATAGAACTTAAAAGATTTGAGTGCTGCGCTAATGTGGGGTTGACGTGTGTGTGTGTTGGTGAGACATCCGGGGGAGGTCAGGAAGGTTAAGAGTGTCTAAATATCTCGCTTCAAGACACTCATGAGGGAAGACTGCCAGGAAGTCAACTCCACCTTCAGATTCGTGACTTTAACCCTTGAGTACGGGGGATGTCTCTCTACTGAAGGAAATCTTGTGACGTTAGCAGCCAGTAGTGAAGGAGTTATATAGCCTCCATTGCTAGCATTATGTAGGTGATCATTCGTGTGGTGGAGCTTCAATAAGGGTTTTTTAATGGGTGCTGAAAAGGAATTTGTCATTTGATTAGAGTAGTTTTTTATGTTATACCCATTAAGATAGACCTGGATATTGTGTTTTTATAAGTTATTGAAGTTTTAGTTATGCTAATAATAGTAAACCACTCGGAGATGCGAACTAGGGGCCTGAGAATGTGCACTCCGTGTAATAGCCACTATACCACCATGCCAGGTTAGGTTCATCAAAGCATTCGTGTTGTTACCCTCAGCCCGACCTTTACATGTCATTACTTGGCGGCTGAGTGGACACAGCGCTCGTCGCCTACCTTAAAGGTTACTGGTTCGTTGACGTGGCTTCCCTAGTCCACCTAACTGTCAACTGGCAAGTGATTGTACAGTCGAGAGGGTGAAGGTGGTCAGATGTAGTGCCCGGCTTAGTCTTGGTGCTGTGGGACTCACTATAACACACACACACACAGAGGGCCGGCCGCTGTACTAAAGTGGGTCAGCCATGACCTAATTTTACCCAAATGGCCGCTACAGCTGTTCATGACACGCACACCAGCTGTTTATGATGCTCCACCAGCTGTTGCTCATGACACTCCATCTGCTGCTTATGACACACCACTGCTCATGACACACACACACACACACACACACACTGCTCAGCCTTCATTGTATCTACTGTACATTCACATCCATCTTCTTAACATGTTAACAAGCCTAATACAGCCAGTCTCTGTTGAACATACGTGATGCGTTCCTAAAACCTTGTGCGTTAAGCGGATGTAGTACGTTCAGCTTGAGTTTCGTTAAGCTGGGTACGTTAAAGGTGGTTGTCGTTAAGTGGGGGTACGCTAAGTTTGCATTAAGTTTGACTAAGTTAGGTTAGGTTAATTCAGGTTAGGCGTTGGTTAGCTTAGGTCAGATTATTTTAGGTTTGGTTAGCATTAGGTTAGGTTAGAATAGATGAAGTTAGGTTAGGTTAAACGTTAAGGTGGTTAATCTGAAGGTGAAATAAGCTGGAGTGTGTAATCTTCAGGTGAAGTTGGAAGTTCCCTCACTGAGGGTTCCAATAACCACCGTAGAGAACTTGGCCGCTCGTAAACATACCATCTCGCTGCTGCATCATTAGTCCGCCTGGTCCACTCTCCTGAAGTTATGTTGTCACTAGCAGAGTTGATTTATTTCACTGTTGTCACCAGTTGTCAATTTATTCCATTGTTTTCACCAGCAGAGTCGATTTATTTCACTGTTGTCACAAGCAGAATCAATTTATTCTACCGTTCTCACCAGTAAAAAACAATTCCTTCCACTGTTGTCACCAGCACGTGAAGGTTGGCCGTAAAAACTAATTTAATATTATGTCCTGGGAGCCAGCCATTCCTCTGGTGTGCGGCGTAACATATAAACATAAAGAGACACATCCCATAAGCTTGGTCGTCGCTCCAGCGTTCCAAGTACCGCAGGAGCTAGGGCGTGAGCGAGGCTGTGGTGGTGGCGCCTCCTCGCGTCTTTTCTGATAACGATCAACGACGCCGTCCCTGGTAAAACATAACCCCCCAGGAGACATACTGCTTCTTTCCTCCTGTTTAAACATGGCTGCACTTCTACTCCAGGAAAGCACTAGTTTAGTTTTTGCATACCGTCCATACTTGTTTAGCGTATATTCTCTTAACATATATTCGCTTAACGTATATTTGATTAACGTACTGTATATTCGCTTAACGTACATATCGTTAGCCGTGCATGTATTTTGTTAACGTATATTAGCTTAACGTATGATTTATTAACGAATATTCGATTTAACGAATATTCGATTTAACGAATATTCGATTAACATACATCCGCTTAACGCACGTCTGTTTAACATACATTCACTTATCGTACACCAGCTTAACGTTCACCCGTTTAACGAACATTCATTTAACGGACAGGTTTTCTTGAATGTATCATGTACAATACGTTAAGCAAACACTAAATGCAGTTGCGTGTGGATATGCGTGAATAGTCTCTATAAACATTTAGCACTCTCGTGGCCCCCTAATCACCCTGCTACTGCAATCACTCACACAGACATAAATTTGTTATAGTAAAGCAAAGGAATTTTAATATTCATCTAAACCAATTGTAAACTTGTATCATGATTTTACTGAATAAATATTTAAGTCCCTCTGTCTGGGTCCCGCCATCCTTGTTAGGGATTATTCCACTCGTGTTACTTACCAATGCATAAGGTAGAGGGGAATCTAATCCTCCACTTCAGT